TAAAGGATGGCAAGTCTATTTGCATCCACTATGAAGACACATAATCTCTCTCCGGTATTTACCCCTAAAGGCAATCAATTGCTCGACACCAAATAAAGGTTTCAGACAAAACTGTCTTCACACTATGAGCTATCTCTTGTCATCTCATCGTTTTAATTTCGACTGTAGTTCAGACAATTTCGATTTCCAACTTGTTTAATCTTTTCAGAAACAAAGTTGTAGACTCTGCTGTTGGCTGTTTTAGTCCCCGATGTTTGCTTTAACCTCGATGGCCAGTTATTTCTTTGAAGTTGTGGCACGGTTCATGATGAGCACACTTAAAAATGATCACTTTAGAATTAACCAATACTCTCCTAAGATCTATTCAAACAATGAGGGGTTTATAAGCCTGCCCCCCAGTTTTAACAGTAGTAAAGACATTTTGAGCAACGAGTCCTAGAAGTACGAAACAGTTGCATGATGCAGTATAATTCACTTTTGGCATACTGCATATATTACCATGTATATGTGCGGTCACATGTGTGTTTGTTACATTCATCTGACGCCAAATAACGTAATATAATACCTCCCTTTACGCCCAATATTATGATAATATTGTTGTATCAATAGTGTTGTTGATGATATCAGTGTATTTTGTCTTTCTCATTTGTAGTTACCCGTAGTTATAATAAATGTGACTTGCAAATTTCTTTCTGCAGACACCCTCCCGGACGCCGACGGCTCATTTCATAACAGAACTATGTGTGTTACTGACGCTGACACGAACAATCCATGCAAGGATTCGTTTACAATTGCGGTCCATAATGGTGGAAGTTTCCGCGTCTATGCCTTAGAAACATTCAACAGTAGCAAATACGGACTTGAGAATGACACTGTTTCCTATTGTTTTGGTGAGACATTTAAATACAACAAAACAACCCTAATCCAAACTGCACGAGCTCAGGTCTTTTGATACCTCATTCAGGTCAGTTTGGAATAATCTGATAATACGATCTTCCGATTCCAGTAAAACCATGTCACCAGGCTCTATTACAATTTTACTGCGATTACTATACATGTATATTCTTCGAATGATTTAGATTTCACCATGAATTTTCCTTGATCCCTGGGAACTTTTTTTTAAGATGTATATATAATTGATGTTTTTATAACATGACATAACCTATAAAATAAGATCATGGCTACATTTATAGTATTAGTTTAATAATAAGCACGCCAATGATTGGTAATGATACTTTTCTAAGAATCGAAATCAGTTACAACGGTTAAGACAAAAAGATAATATTGTATACCAACAGATCTATCAATATCAAGGGATCCCTGTTCTGCAACGATACCGACGTCACTTCCGGGGCCAGAATCCCATCGACCTGGTAATACTGACGTCATACAAAGTGACGCACACCTGAGTGATAACTGGTATAGTGTTGAACCGTACCAGATCGTCACAAACAGTCCAGATTTAGACTCGCCCATTCGGTGTGGAGCTAAATACCAATTATGGATGAATGGTGACGTATATATGTTTGTATGTCTAAGCATATCACAAATAATGTAGGTAAATAACGTATGAGCTATATTATATTTAGAAAGGTTTATCACATACATGTCTGTACAAGTAATGTTTGTCTTGTTATCGTTATGTACTGTCCATTTTAGAGGTACACAGTATGCTGTAGTTCTATTTGAATGCATTGTGCCTAAAACTTTATAGATGTTAGATATTATGACGTCATCATAGAAACAATCATGTGACTAAACACTCGATCATGCATCTGGATAAATTGCTTGCAATTTTCCAATAAAATGGTTTTAGTTCTTCGACTCGTTTCGATTGCCTGCGTTGGTATTGATAAATTTAAAATAATAGTTTAAAAACTATAAACGGTGACATAATTTGTGTTTTATTACTACCTCCATATAGCTGCCGACGTCGTATATTGACTGCTTCATTTACCAAATGGTTTTATAATTTCTAAAGTGGCATTTAACCATACATTTGATAAATTTTACTAAATATACTCCAATAAGATTTCAATAATATGTATTTTTCATTTTTTAATTGTGCTCAGATTTTTATTCTTAACTTTCCCGTTTTAAGCTGGCGCAAACCTGATGGAAGTTTATTAAATCAAAAGAAGTATTACCCGTGGTCTGCTTTAAGTATTAAACGAGATTTCATAGGTACTGATTCAGTACGTTTGCTTACCGGTAAAGTGATTACTCAAGCTTAGTAACTATATTTTACAATACATCATGTATAATACATAATGTCCAAAATGTCACCTGACTCGTCTCGTGTAACATTGAATTCAATTGAAGTTCGTCTGTGTATAAACACGTTGTAACGTAAACTATATGGCAATCTAACTGGTGTTGCAATGATACCATTATTTTGTTCATTACATATAGACTCTTTTCCGGAAGTGGATGGTAAACATCATTTACGAAAGCTTTGCATCACGGATCCTGCGACGTCAGACACGTGTATTAACAGCGTTCATTTCACTTTCATAAAGAACTGTGATGGCGTTTTCCGGTATTTCCTCACAAGTTCGCCTAAACCCGACAGTGCATACTGTTTTGGTGAGTAATTTGATCTAATCACATCATGACCCTGTTGTTCAGAGAATACACTTATGTAATATTTTTGTATACAAACTCATGATATATGACCTAGACTTTCGTCAGCGAAGGATAATGAAGTGACGTCAGAAGATTCCACATTATATATGGACATCAGATCGAGGTAGCAAATAGTAAGTCAAAAAGGCGGAAATGTGGCCCTGCGAGAATTACATGGAAATGTGTGATTTTTGTTTTAATATTCCTACACGTCACATTGTGATGAAAAAACATTATATTTCTTGTTTGATATATGAACCTTTTCACGTTATTTTTAAACTCTTCGAAGGCTTACCGAAATTGAAAAACAAAATATTACACAATAACATAAAAATCTAGTCTCCTTAAAATCTGTTTTTATTGAAATTCCTGTTAATTGTATAATTCTTTTTAGTACATAATAAACAAATAATATCATTTTACCTAAGAACACCAAAGCACGTTTACTTTATCAAAACAACGTAGACCTGCCAAACAAGCTGAACTTTGTACTGCCGGTATAAACAACATTGCATATTTTTCTAAAAATGTTGTATTCATAATTGATATAGCATGCTTTAAGTTTCTATACTACATTTTTAACCATGTATCAAACATTAATTTGATTATTTACATGACTCCTTATGATAACTTTTCATGATTGATAAGTTATTTTCTTATATCTTTTTATGAATTTAATCACATAAACAGATACTTTAACAATTTCGAGATATATGTATCTCGTTCTGTCCCTCTATCTCTGTTTCTGTCTGTGTGTCGGTCTGTTTTATAAATAGGTGTTACTCGCTGAATTACTGTGTCTTTCTCATCATTATACATCACATGTTTATCTTATTACTATTTTCAGATATTCCGGCAATCGCGGATGGTAAGTATTTACAACTTAAAAGGTACATGCAAATAACAAAGTATTTGGTTGATATATGTATAAAAAACAGAACCAGAGTGTACGAGTCTAAATGTTAATGTGATCTTTTTGTATAACTATATATAAATATTGTTATATCTAAACCCAGCTTATATCATAATATTCTTTTGTTTTAAATGAAGGTTTCATTATTCTTTCGATGGTGGAAGGAATCGCACATAATAAGCCGGTTACATTTCGATTCCTATCGATATGTGTTACAACTGTAATGCGATGTTTAATTAATCAGTTGATCAATGCATGTATTTTATTACTTGCCGTAAGTTTTATTTGACCCGTAACACCAAGTCAACTGGACTGTTTTGTACTTAATAACACAAACGTGGTTCTATGATCTCCCTTCACATATATTATCTAAACGTCATGCAAAGGTGAGGATACTATTATCTTCACATAATCTGGTCCTAACTAGTCTCCAGTGTATATTCCTACAGACAGGAACTTAATGAGAATGATCTTCAAATCGGTCCGTGGGTATAATAATAAAGTTTGAGGCGATATCGCTTACTAAACATACCACCAGTATTTAAGAGAACCATGAGTTAAGAAATATTTCATCAAATCAGTTCGTTTATTTTACTTTTCTTTTTGGTACACTAAGTTTACTGACGAAATTGTCACCACACGTTTCTTTCACAACCATTTTGAAATGTGACAAATGAGTGTTATTGCAAAATCCTGGTGTAAAATTAACTGTATTTAGGTAAGTTTTGCCTTTCCGTGTACTAACATAAATATTGCAGCGGTGAATCAGCTGTTACACAAATTATTGATTTTTTTGCGTTACTTTACTCTGAATTGCTTACTATGTGCTGAAATTTCGTACCGTACAGCGAAAGATATACTGCTACGAAAATTACACTTTTGATTTATGTAATACAGGGCAATATATTAATGTATTCCAACGTCACTACTTATACAGCATGTTTATTTTATATCACTATAAAGTTATCGTAAAATGTATATATTATTATTCACAATATTTACTGCATACATCGTATTATAATACAAGATAAAAACGGATCATGAAAAATCAAATCAAATGTTCAATTCAATTCTAATCAAATATATAAGAAGGTAAAATATATGTCAAAATAAGTTTTTAAAATAATCATCACTATTGCTTGTGGTTTATCGTTTATGTTGACTGCTATGATAGGCGAAGTGTACGTGCATCTTTTGTAGATCCAGCGCCAGATTTTACACCAAGCAATGTGAAGATAGATGTCAGTCTAACATGGATCCAACTGGGTTTAACTTCATCGAGTCTGAAGCCGTCACTACAATTCCAATGTTCCTCAGGACACTCAGGACTTCTTGTACGTCGTTTACTTTTATGTGGACGGAGCTTACATCAATACAGGATCAGATGTTATTGTTCGGGATCCCACTGAAGCTTATGTTAATGAGCAAGTGCTTTTTTATCTACACGGATTTTCGGCTGGGATAACGGTGAGATATCACAATAGACAGTTCCATTAATATTTCATATAACATCTTCTTTCATAGATGTGGTTAAAAATGCAACATGTCAAATTCAATATGACGAAATGAAGATTTCAAGCCTTAAAAGGGGGGAAATCTGCCAAATTCTGGAGAACTCTTTCATGTTTGTCTCTAAAACGAATTAGTTTAGCGTTATATTGTATCTTGATGAAGTACCACGTACCCCTGAACTATCTGTCGCTTCTTTATTTGCAGATTTCCTGTCATGTCGGCACTAGGTCTACACGGAATGGTCGCACAGGTGTAACAGTAAAAAGCCCTGGATTTTACGCCGGTATTAAGGTAAGCATAAAAAACAGCGTATAAGAGTGATTCTTTATTGCCATATGTTGTTAACTCTATAGAGCAATACAAAATATATTTCACTGTATTTATATTATTAATGATCATGTTTATTTGGCAATAAGAACCTAGATAACGATATCTAATATAGGATACGGTTCTTTTCTTTACTTAATCTGTTTAATATACGCATTAGCAACCGTCTGCTGCTTTTCTATGTCTAGTGATCGCAATTGTATTAACACACTCATCATATAACCATCAATGTAGTAATACTTTGTGAATTAACACCAAGGACTTTTTACGGATAATTTGTTTGCTTCATTTCTCTTTTATTTATTAATGCATCGTTCTTTACTACTAAAAATAAAGACTATTTTTTTTTCAATTGCATGATCCCTAATTAAAAACATATAAGCAGCTTAGAATTATGGTAAATTGCCGACTTTAATGACATCTGCGTTTAAAGGATATGTGATTATGTGAACTGGCATTGCACTTCAAGACTTAAGAAACCCCATTACGATTGAAATGCAAAACCCTGGTAATCAATCCAAACGCAATGATACTCATTCGTTTATCGCGCTATTAGTCTGATATCTAATTTGTTCTATTTTATCACAATAAATAACCGGAAATCCGAGATAAGGATGCACCGATTCATAAATTTAAAACATCAATACAGAAAGCAAGAACAGCATTAGGTCTGAAGATGATTTCGATGAATGAATTAAATTTAAAACGTCATAAATTATTTTAAATCAATCCATAGTTGAAACTGCAATCGCTTATGAAAGAAATGTCTGGCGAGAAAAAAAGACATTGCAATAAGGAAACATTATGGGCTTAATTGATTCATGAAGCCCTGCGATGTAACATTTCTTATAATACAGCGTATCGTTTTCCGATCCGGACGGCTTTTTAAGTGCCCAGTGACAGCAAATCAGGCCTGATATTGCCTCCTCTTGTTATAGGTCAAGTTCGTCATTTGTAAGTAAAGACAACTTGTGCTGTCGTGTACATTATGTCAGAAGTTCCATCATTTATACATACAATTCGGTATATTACCATATAATTTAACAAGGTGTAAAGGTGTAAGTACGAGTGGAAACCTAATGATACATTCATTTCAGCTTTATTTGAAATATGATCTGTGAAGGAAAATGTCTTTTTCACATTCACCAACGTAATATTTCTTTTTGTTTGTGTGTCCTCATATACTGTTGTTGTCAGGTCATAACGAATTTCAAATAATTTCCAGTTGTGTCCCCTTGTATTGACGATATTTTCCAATTTTCCGCTAGATGGTGTACGATTCCATTGATGTCCAGCGCGGAGAGAGGGATGTTGTGAGGTTTTTCCCCACCGTTCCATTTGGTTGCGAATACAGTCAAACATCTCCTGGAACTGACTGCTACTTGACCCTGTTTATATCCGATAACACTACACACGACACGTGTGAAAGCAACACCATTCAACATCAGTGTACCGTACAGCTGAAAGGTCTGACAAAAGAGGACAACAATGCAGCGATGTCTTGGGCGATAAATTCTACATTTGAAGTCATAACAGCGGAAAGCAAACTTGGGTCATACAATTTAGCTAATAGACACTTCACACTGAGACTCAGCACAGGAATAACCTACCACACGTTTTGGCAGGATTATGAGTCAGAAACAGTTACAGTAAGTACAACATAGTTTTGGTTTCATAGCACTTGCACTAGTTTAAACTGCTAAATATTCTTTTGTCCTAACTCTTTTATGCAAGTACTGTTTTATGAAGATGATGTGATTCTACACCTTGCTAGACTTTCCAGTTCCCCATGCCTTTGTATATCGATACTAACCTTACTAAAGCTCACGCATATTTAAACATATTGCTCAAGTGAAACACTCATTGAGAATAAGACGTGTATTTCATTTCAGTAGTCATATAGAGTAAGACACATATCCCATATGAAACACTTATGTAGAATAATAGAGGAACATGGTTATGTATTTCATGTGAAACACTCGTTTAGAATAAGAAACACTCCATATGAAACGCTCGTGTTCACTGTTATAGAACAGTCATTTAGATAGAACAGTCATTTAGATAAAGACGCATGTGAAACACTCGTGTGAAATCAGATATGTATCTTTCGTGGAACAACTACATGGAAGTAGAGTACGTATGTCTTTGGTATGTCACAGTTGTTGTACCGTATACATAATATACTTTTCATACTTGGAAGCTTGTTTAGATTTATATCAACATTCCAACATGTCGTTTTAAGGTCAATGTTTATGAAAGGGAAACATCGCAAATGTGGCAGGGGAGGGAGTGCCAAGTCCATTGTGATCCTCATCACTTGACATTTGATGGAATGTAAGTAAACCTTCCGTGTCCTTTTTCATTCGTATTTAAGTAAATACACCCCGTATTCATATGTCAATTATGAGTTCCGATTTATCGTTTTTGTTGCGGTAGAGGTATGTTTTCATAATTTGGCATTTTTGTCACGCCGCCACGAAGTAGCGGATGCAAGACTAAGGTGTTGCTTTTTCGGCTGCGGCGTCAACATTAAGTTTTTGCATTAAAGCTAGTTTCTGACAGTATAAGTGCTAGACCAACCAAATTTGGACCATAGATGCATCTTAGGTAGCACATCCCAACCCATGCATCAATTACTGAAAGCGGTCTACCTGTCATGGTCCATTGACTTTGTAAGCATCTCCATCCACATTAAATATAATTGAACTAATAGTAAAGAAAAGTCTTTAACTTTAATTAATATTAATTAAAAAAAACGTTTTTCAATATGAAAATACCCTGTACACCATTAGACATATATCATATATCTTGGCAATTTACAATTCGCAGGAGATTCGAACTGCAGTATCCAGGAAAATTTCTCCTGTTTAAAAGTACAGATCCCCCTATGCAGGTAAGTGTTCGAAGCAAGGACGACTCCTGTATCGAAACACAATATAAAGATGCTGAATACATTGTTTATAACATCTGTTTGAACATATGATTCATTCAGTGCATTTATTTGCATAAATTTCGAAACAACTTATATCAAGTTTATTAACTTATGCCTTTTTGTTTATATCTGATAATAGCTATATGAATTTGAGATTGATAGTGTCTATCAAAGTAAGTATTTGGGATATGGTTATCCTACCCGAGGGTTTAAAATTTGGGTCAGAACTGTAACTTAACATATCTATATAATGATTGGCTCTTTTTACCAAAATTATTCAAAACAAGACAAAATAGACAAATTCAATGATACACTAAACATAGAAAATAACACATATTACGCTCCTCAAATAGTGAGTGCGTATCTAGTAATCGCTGAGTTCGTGTGTCCGTGCGTCCGTGCGCGCGTAGAAAAGCTGGTGTATTAGCTAACTCATGAACCCTTTACACATTCAGTTAAAAGTGCTATCGAGTTTTACACATAATAAGCTTATTTTGGACATCGGGAAATGTCAAAAGAATAAAGGTCAAGGTCTAATATCATACTGTACCGCTTTTGAAGTGAAAAGCTTATGCATACAAAATTTCCCATGAACCCTTCAAAAAGGTTGGCTTACATTTATTTACACCTGAATAGATTTGGTGGTCATTGGTTAGGATTTATTGGTAAAAGGTCACAGGCGAAGCCGGGTGGGGGAGCAAGTTTATTTATGTGCGCTTACGCTCACTTTGTTTTTATTTATTTTATTAAACAGGTACAGGTGGAAATACAGTCATGCTACAATAGCGGTGCACCTTATTGTGCGTGTGGTCTAGTGGCAATAGCTGGTCAGGACATCTATCAAATTTATACTTGTTTTGGAAAAAATATCATCAAATTTGAGGCATGCAACGACAACGTTTTAAAGGCCGAGATGATATCGTCAAGAGTATACAAAGTAAGTAATACTAACTGAAGGATACGGTGGAATAGACGGATAGGTGGAGCAAGATTTACATGTCTCCCCTCTTCAGGTTAGTATACTCTGACTGCGTATGAATTAGCGTATACGCAGTGAAAAAAGGCTCGGTGGGTTGATACTTGTTTCATATATGGCGCCGTTCACGCTTCAGCGAGATAACCGTCCAATAACAACCAATCTTGGATCATTCACCATCTAGATACATAGAACATATTCGGGATATATTATGTCTAATTATACAACAAAAGAATGCTGACAAACTTCTTGTTCCATGGATGTACATTCAAATTTCATTGGCGGTAACGTCAACAATGGCGGCTTCGTTCTGACCTCGTCACTCTATGAGCAGTGTGCCAATGCGCGTACATGACGACCGTTGTAAATGAATAGAAAAGTTCGAAGGGCTTCTCACATTGCTTAATTTAAATTTTAAAAACCAATAGTGTTGCTTACTGCGTATTTTCTAAATTTATCCATATATCGATGTAGATTCACAGTAGCTAAATTGTCCTAGCTACCACGGCTACCGTATAGTTTCCATCATGGCAAGCCGCTTTGACTTTTTTTCTGCGTAATGTTGCATTTAAAAATGTTTTGAATGTAAATATAAGGGGTGACCTTCATTTTGCCGGCGTATACGGTAGTGTAAACTCAGTTGGCAACGAACATATTCTATGGTGTGCTAACATATTCTTTATGATGCGCTAATGCGCACCCTAGAATATGGTCGTTGCCAACTGCGTTCAGACTCTCGTATACGCCGGCAAAATGAAGGTCAATCCTTAATTGTACCCCCCCAAAACCCAATGTATTCACAAGCTTTTCGTTCAGCATTCAACCTAATCATTAGCACTTTAAACTGTTTTCGTAGAAGGTGCTTAAAAATTGAATTTACAGATTGACGCTTTTACTTGGTTTTAAACCTAAGTGGACCCTCCTGCTGGTTTGGTTTAAACATATGTATTTTATTCTATAGGATTGAGAGTTGTTGGGTTCAACTTCCTAGTAACAGCTTAAGTCATATATCGACGTGTATCTTTGCGTGTAATGGATTTGTGTGTGTTAAAGACAATATTCTAGTGTATTTGCTTCCTTACGATAGCGTAGATCTTAAGCTGAAATACCATGCCGACAGCACCAAGCATAGTATACCACTCGGTCACAATATACCAACAGTGATTTAACCAGTTCTTCCGATTACCACAAATGCTGAACGTTAAGCAGAGAATAAACATAACCATTGTTGTAATGATTATTTTCAGATTTATCTACCCACCGGGGCGACAATCAATGTTTTCATACGAGGAGGCCGTTCTTATAATATGATGGACATAGATATCATACCTACTCATCATGAATATCAGGAACAAGTGACAGGTCTTTGTGGAAATTTTGACGGAGACAAATGTAATGACTGCGTTAACAGGGGAGGACGGTTTCCCTGCACGACACCAGCTCCTAATGGATGTCGTGGGGGATACAGCTATCATCCTAACGAGTTTACATCGTCATTTAGGTGAGTAGAGAATGATGTACTCATTGATATCGAATTTTATCAACTTGTTGAAACTGATATTTTTCACTCTGATACATAAAAATGACATTTTCGCATCTTTGGCATTTACTAGTAGGAACGGCACTTTCTATTTACATCTTCCAAAGCCGCAGATTTTCTATTCAGACACAAATAAAGCGCCAGTACAATTAGTGGTTGTTTACATACAGTATATTAACCTACATAATTTATTACATTTATGAAAGCAAATCTCACCAAACAACAGAACGATAGAACACTGTGAACGGCCTATTGTAATTGGCGTGCAGCCTAGTGTCAAGCGTGACGTCATTAGAAAATTGTTACACTATCATATCGCAAGCTGTTTTGATAAAGTAATATTTTCGTCGTTGTAGATAATTTTAAAATCCAACAAACAAAACTTTAAAGGTTTCCGTTGAATACTTTTGTACAATTTATGTATCATTCGAATTGCAGAATATACCGATACTTTCACTCGTGCTTTGCACTCGAAAAGGATATCGGTAATCTGCCTTACCAAACGTGAACACTTTTAATATCCTCAGTTATTTGTGGAGAGTAGTCGCCTATTCGCCATGTTCAAGCATACAGTAGTCGAACTACGAAATAAGAATATCAACAAATGTATTTGATCCTGATGTTGTACCTGATATAAGAATTCTGTTCCCAAATTTGTTTTAATATAGTCCATCTCTTGAACCATTGGGCAATACTATGAGTTGTTAATACCGATAAATGTAACTGCAATTTCCGAACTGAGGTTGCGGTCTTGATATACTTATAAGTCTTGACGGAATCATTAGATGGAACTTTTGATTTGCACATCATCTGACAGTCAAACGGTCCGTTCATGGGCTACTTTGTCCGCGACGTAATTTGCATATTCTGATACATAAAGTTGTCGTACACATTTTGCATATGATTAATCATTGGGATAGCAGAGTATCGCGTTCTGAATGAGGTATCGTGCCCCGCAATATAGAAAGCTTAGCCTTTTGATCATTTTTGCTACTGAAGCTTACCTTGAGTAAATTAACAGAATAATAACACATGCATAAATGTGCAATATGCGAACGGCACGTTGTGAAGGTAATGTATTTATAATATTCGAAGAACAGTCACCTCTTTATTTAGAAATTTACAATTAACGATACAAGTTTCCCGTTGAATCTTCGCCAGACTCACTGAAGAGGAAAGTTTGCTTGGCGTCATCCCCGATGTGAGTTTACTCGAACCATATCCTACGTCCAATCAAGTGTGTGTCTGTCCTGAGGGTAGTACCAGTCTGGATGGGACAGAGATTGTGGGAAGCTTCAGTTCTACAACACACTGCACATACACACAATATGCTAGCTGTGAGAATAATCAGGATAGGGAAATGAAGTGTCGTCAACATCTGTTGCTGAGTAATACCAGAGGGAAGAGAAGCGTTCAACAAAATACTTACACGCACGAACACGAAAGGGAAGAAAGGGTATTTAAAGTTTGTTTTTCATAAAGATTTGCTCTCCACTATATATATGACGGTTTGTGCCAATGTAGGTTGTCAAACTGATTATATTTTGTTAATATAATCTGAGATATCCAAAGAAGTGTGGACATAATTCCTGGGTTTACAGCACATGGTATCGTCAACGATATATATGGGAAAATGTTTTACATTGTCGAACATAATAAGGATTTAGTGTCAAGTTTGTTAGGGTTTTATGCGGATATAGGTATAAAGTGCATTCTATCACGTTGTTTGTTAAACAATTTAAAAGACGAAATATAAATCAGTGATGTAAATATTATTTCAAATAGATATAAAAACATTGTTAATCTTTGCCCATTTTTGTTTAGCTTGTAATACGATATATTATTATTAGAAAAACATAGTATAAAAAAGCGTGCTTAGTTCGGATCATTTAACCTATGTTTTAAATGCTAACCTAAACCCATATATTGAATTCTTAATAGGAAGCTATTTTCACTTTGTTCATATCTTCACCATCTATTCTAACACGTTTTCAGTCTGTTGTTATGACGGAGAGCGAAGCCACTGCCGCCTGCAGCCTTGCTCTGATGACATCACCCTCGTACACTACATGTGTAAATTTGGACATATCTTCCTCGGAAATAGAAACTTGCACGGCGGATTTGATGGTACTGACTTGTTATACAACATTATATAATATACATTTAATAAGGCGGTGTGACCTGTGAAGTTTGTACATCACAATTTAGTAACTATCTCATTAACTATTAATTACCTCATTACCTATTAACTACCTTATTACGTTTTAACTACCTCATTACCTATTAACTACCTCATTACCTATTAATTGCATAAGGTTATTTAACATGCACATGTATGATTACTCTTGGTAGGTTTTTTTTGTTTTTCTTTATAATTCACCTCATTTTCGAATTGAATATTTCGCTTTAATTTCGCAAAAGGTTAATTTCAATTTAACTCGCCTTGGAAAAACATGGATATACACCTTATTAATTGATTGTACTAAAAGTGAGAGCTTCTTAGGACAAATACAGATTGTTGTGCGAAATTGTAAACCTCACAAATGTTTTTGTAGGAACGTTTCATCCATATAAATAATTTTGAATGGATAAATAAATAATAACTCTCGTGTATGCGCACAGCTATTCACGTCCGTTATTTAAAAGAAATTCTTAAAGGAAAATCACAGGTAGGGATTGGTTATAACTTTCAAAACTGTGGTTATTTTAGCTGACTGGTGATAGTACCTGGACAAGATTTGCAGTGGACAGATTTCAAACGGCATGTCTTGAAATTATAGCGAAGAATTCAACCCTTCAAGAACAATTTCCTGATGAAGTTAATGCAATCATAAATAACACCTGTCCTAACAGCTGTTCAGAACAAGGATCCTGTGCAGGCGGTAAGTAGTTATTCAAATACATAAGTAGCATGCATTGTGTGTAAGTTTGCAAAATCTAGGTGATCAAAAGACATATTTGAAGCGCATACCTCGATATTACAACAACGAATTGAATTATCCATGCTTATAACTTAACCAAGCCATTATTCCCAATTTCATATCACCATTTTCTTACAATTAGTCAGCGTTATGGGTTGTAACCGTACCGTGTCACTGTATATTCCAAAAGTAGAAATTAGTGGTGTGAATCTGTTAGAATGCAATCCTCATTAGGTCAATCTTGAATACCTTTTCTTTGAAATAATTTCTTTCGTCATAACCTTTGACTTTTCCAACAGGTACGTTAAATACCTCATATTAAACTAAATATACACCGTCGAAATCATATCATTGGAGCTTCCGTTTCCAAGAATCACAAACATCAACACATATACGCGAACTAGTTTAGAACATTTTTTGTTGAATAAACGTCAAAGAGCACGATAAAATATACTGAGTATAAATTCGTGAAAACGATTGAATCCCTGACGACAATATATTTTTGTGCTGTTCAGATTTCCAAGTACACGGTTACCATGTCCATCGGGAAAATCTTCAACCCAACTTGAAAGACGTTCAACAGCAAAATTCTTAAATTCTACCTCAAGATAATTCGATGATGGCTTTTCTTAGTCAGACATTTATTGACAACATCAATCGTACCTTCCTAAATTAGAAATCGGTGGTACTACAGATTCCTCTAGTCTTCTTCGAGCCGTTTACCACGATCGTTACTTAAATATGAGCACATTAAAGATTAACAGACTTGTAGAGATTTGTCAAAATATTGTGATGAAATAAAGCATGTTTGCGGGCATGCGTTTACGCGCATATATGCATTGCACTTGTTGTATCTTCATAACAATATGTATGATGGGTGATCAGGTGAAGAAAACGCTGTGTTATTTTTGCAGACAATACATTATGACAATGTTCTTATGCGATAATGCGCCTTTCTTTTGTTTTTTGTTTGTTTTTGTATTTCTATCAAATTGAAGACTTAATTTCATAACGCTGACAACAGAGGTCCAGTGTAATAAATTAAGCCAAAGTAGTCCCCTTGAATCATGCCAAGAGAAATTGTCACGTTACTCAAGTCGCTAAAAAGTAGTTCTCCACAATACAAAAACAATTTGTGATTTTAGGAGTGTGCAGCTGTGATGAAGGCTTTGCGTCAGATGATTGTTCCTTTAATTTGACGTCGCCATTGGACGTGTCTGGTCTCGAGAACGACGACTTGTGTGATCTACGATATGAATGTGACTTAATCCTGGTAAACGGACCAGACTTCCCCTATGGTAGAAACTACACGTGTCAATTCACCGGTCAGATGGTGAGTGAAATTATATGTGTTTAAAAGTAATATCATTTTTTCATATTGAAGAATTATCACAGAGAGACTCGATACACAAACTTGGAATACATTTATTTCATTCCGTTCGATCTGAAATTTAGTTTATGACATCGGAAAGGTTTTTGGTGTCTTAGGTTGATGGTCACTAGCATACTTCCAGGGATGCTTTCGTAGTTTTCATTCCCCATTTTTTTCTTTGGTGTTTTTAATAAAAACTTGTATTTTTGTATAACATTTGCATCCCTTTTTTCCCTGATTCTCAGATTGTTTTTAGAAATGTGTAGATTTTGTATACTGTTATTTGTACTGTTTGTTTTCAGACTTTTGTCAATTCATCTGTAAGGCTATTGGAGGTTCAAAATGTAACAGCCCAATACCAGAGTCTGTTTGGACTACTTTGTGATCTACCGGATGTCGGAACCTTACCGGGACGACTTGGTATACAGTACAGTATATCTGTTGCTATGGATCCATATGATTTCAGTACCGCCATGACCTTTGTCGTCATCGATAGTCTTTGTCAGACATTTACGTACACGGCAGGAAACATATCATTTAATATCAAGGTAAGTGGACAATGTATATCTGCCTATGAAAACATGTCATTCTGTTCTTTCTTTGCAATTCTAACATAAATGTATTTAGAAGATAACGTAAACAAAAGAACACTGATCAACAAAAACGTTATCTCTATGTTTATGGGTGCATGCAGCCTTACTGTGAAATGGTTCTTCTTTTCAGAAGAGTTACAAACAACGAACCGAGCAAACAAAATATGAAAAATAAAAAGATTGCAGATATTGAAAACGCTTCAGTAATTATTTTATTGTCAGACCTTTCGCAGATCAAATAAGATCATTTCAGCATGAATCGCAAGTGACATGAATGAAATAGCATATACAATTTAGTAATTGGTACGTGAACATGAAATAACTGTGGTGAAAATATCATACTGAGGCAGCGAGATGACTTTAGGACCACACAGATTCTTTTGTTTCACTTGCTTCTCAAGTTGAATTGCACTTCAATGCATATTAAAGCACTTTTTGCATCAAAACATCAAAACAACCCATTTGCATCACATATTGCTTTACTATTTCAAATAAAATCAAGGGAGGTAAAGTAAAAAAAAAATGATGTTGAACCTATTAGGGCAAATGAATCGGCGAAAACCATACCCATTTCAGTAAAGTGGGGACGTAGGGATAAAGTACTGTAGGACATGGACCTTTTTTGTAAAAATATATCTGATAAAATGCTATGTTACAGGTTAAATACACATAGAAGATTGTTATGAAAATAAGTAATATTACTGAACATTGTTCTATTATATTTACATTTGCATGGCATTGTCACTATATAGCCTCTTTGAAAGCTGTGTCGTTGATGGGACTTTAATTACCATGTATCACGGGACACAATTCTTAGCGTATTAATACAACACTGACCGGAACTACAATATCCAATATAAATAAACATGACGGCTGCTGAAATATCGCTGGGCATTGTGAGATTTGACAATGTCAATGTAAATTTATGTGCAAAATAAAAAATAAATAAAAAACACCTTTATTACAACGAAAACAAGACCAATGTCTGCAATATCGTACAAAATGCACATCGGTTGAAATCACCAATGCCGGCAATGGAAACAATTCTAACGCTCATGCAATTTATCAGAAATATCGTCTGTTACACTGCACTGATCATCAGGGGTTCGTTACAAATGTCTGAAATACACATATTCTATAGACCTACTGACACATATTTTACAGACCTACTGATAACCATTTCAGACATTTGTAACGAACCTGTGCTCCGTCGCAAGATCACTCACTTCAAACGCTATCAGTTTCACGCGTCTGACATCCACGGTTCCTCAGTTTCTAACGACGTGTCAAATAACGAGTCTGTTAAAGAATCTACCGACTGTTGTCAGGTTCCCATACAATCAACAAATAAACTCACGCCTGGATTCTTCACAAAACGAGCAAAGAGAAAAGTTCGAATTAACTTCCAAAAATAACTCCCTCGTGGAGGGCAAGGTCGGATTTACGGTGTTCACTGTATTTGTCCATGCGCGAAATTTGTTCCGGGGAAAAATCGAAACAATTTCAAATCTAACTTTCAGCTCAGAGTTCTATTGATAAACTTAAATCACCCTATAGACATATCATACGCAATTATATTGATACTGAATTGTGGAATAAAATTGAAGTGTTTGTTAAAATTTCAAAGTACTACTTTGTTTGCCAATCAGCACGCGACAATACGCTGTTCAAACTATTGAACGAAATTGTGTGGACTGTCGATAAGGCGGGTATTTTGAATTTTAAATATAAATTATAAGTTAAAAAAGAACATAAGAGGCAGAGAAAACGTAAATATAAGTATTGAACTGTTTTTGTATGGTATTTATGATATATTTGAATGACACAGCTTTGCAAGCAAACAACATAATGCGCGCTAAGTTCAATGCTTAAATATTAACTATTACTGTGCAGTTTTGTCATCAGATGTTTATGTGTTAACGAAATCTATCCACTTGTTTTTGTTATCTTCAGGGTAATAGGTGCTGTATTTGCTAAGTCTATTTTTAATCTTTTCACGTTTGAGTGTTTCCTGTTCATTTCTGTCTTAAACTGTTTCAGCAAAAATAACGAGCAAACTCATTCTAAACATACTGAATTTGATATCTGTGTAAATGCATAGTTGTGTTTTATTCCAGGATGAGTATTGTTTCATCAACGGCGTGTGTATACCAGCAGGAACCGATAACAAGGACGATTTGTGTCAGGAATGTGATAGTCAAGACAGTGTCTATACCTGGTCGCAATCTAAAGGTATGTTATCTAAAAGACACTAACAGTTTGGATAAAGTGTTGTTAGATGTGAGCTATGAGAAAGATTTAAAATGGATATTTCCGCGTCGATAAAGCTTAGAAATTTTGATTGCATTTAAAGACTAACCTTTACTAAATAAAAATGCCAAGCACACTAAAGTGTAAGTTTGAACCTTTACAGGAAAACCCTTTGAAGATGAATGCTACCGTTATGTTGACTCTCAGGCTGACATGATGAATATTTGAGTTTGTGTAATACTGACCGGAGGTTTTCTATGAAAAAAGAACCTCTGAGATAACAGTATTATTTAAACGGAAACACATATTCATGGCATTGCGTTGATTTGAATTGATCAATTCTCATTCCAGACTGCACTGTAAGTGATCTACTGGAGAGTACTGGAGGTGTTACTAATCACGTGACTGTCATTGTAGCTGTCACATGTTCCGTTGTCATGGTATTCATCCTGGTCAGTTTGGGAGTGTATTATTGGAAACTACACACAAACAGGTAAGCATATGGGGCCATTTGTAGAAAACATCTCAAATTTAAGGAAAATTTCAAGTAATATATTGTCTAGTGGAAATCTGAAACTTGAGGAAATCTCAAGAGTTGAGATGCTTTATACAAGTGTGGCCTGCTGATTGAACACAAAATTGTAGTTAGGATATAGTACTATTAATATTTCTAGCAAATGTACATAATTTGAAATTATAAGTAAGCCAAATATATTAAACATTAATTAACTAACTGTATAGTCGTTAAATCGCTATGTAAACTACTTGGAACAAAACTACTCAATTCCCTTCTGCATTTGCAGTAGCTCAAAAGAGAGAGGCGACTCCGTCGCAGCTGTGTATACTGCGAGGTCGGATGTCGTAGGAAAACTTCACTTCGAGCAACGTCACAATCTTAACAAACCTCACCAACTTCCACCATTAGAAGGCAAGAAAAGAAGGGTCTTTCATACAGACAATAAGACACTGCCGTTTCCACTAAAGGATGATATCTGACATCTTCTGTCAACAGTCAGTTTTCACTTATCAATGCCGTCAAAAACTAACCACTGATTACATAACTGGAATTCCTCAAAGAATAACTTAAAAAGTGGGAAAGAGAAAAGACGCAACATGAAGCAATCATATCAAACCCAATTATTAGACTTATCTAACCGCGTCTTCTTAGTAAACAAATAAACCACATTGGCAGAGTTCACAGAATGATCAAACTACACTTTCTCAAGGCACCGATGCTTGTAACATGATATATGTTGGTTAGGTTAGCTGAAACCATATTTCATTCGTGTTGATTTAAACATAACAATAACAAAGAAATGAAGATGATTGGGAAACAAGAACTAACGTAATGGAACTATGATTTTTATGTTTATTTTTTTTCACTGAGAGGCTCCTTTAATAACAACATAAGGAAATTGAATGTTATGGAACTATGATCACAACATTTTGTTTTTATTTTTCACCGAGCCGTTCATGTAAATATGAATCTGTATGGAACTGTGATATCTAAACTTCGCTTATATTTTGGACTGGACCTGTAAAGATAACGTAAGGAAACCGTTGGTTCTGGAACTGGGATATCTCATATGTTTGTTTGTAATCAGTTTTGCACCGTATGACACCTGTATTACTTATAAAGAGACTGTATGCTATGGAACTGTAATATCTGAATTATATTCATATTTGCATTGTATGACACATGTAAAATGTATGAAGAAACAGTGCTTATGGAACTGAGATATCTAAATTATGTTTTATTTTGCACTGTATGACACGTGTATTACGTATGAAGAAACAGTGTTTTATGGAACTGTAATATCTAAATTATATTTATATCTGCACTGTATGACACGTGTATTACGTATGAAGAAACAGTGTTTTATGGAACTGTGATATCTAAATTATGTTTTATTTTGCACTGTATGACACCTGTATTACGTATGAAGAAACAGTGCTTATGGAACTGTGATATCTGAGTTATATTTTATTTTGCACTGCGCGACACCTGTATTTCTTATGACTAAATTGTATTTTGTGGAACTGTGATATCTAAATTAACTTTTATATTGCACTGCGCGACACCTGTATTACGTACGAAGAAATTGTATTTTATGGAACTGTGATATCTACATTTTGTATTATATTTTTGCACTGTTTGATACCTGTATCTTTTATGTGAAGAAACTGTATTTTATTGACTGTGTATCTAACTCATATTTGAATTTTGCACTGTTTGACATCTGTATTTTTTATGTGAAGAAACTGTATTTTATGAAACTGTGATATCTAACTTATATTTGATTTTTGCACTGTTTGACACCTGTATTTCTTATGAAGAACGATGTGTTATGGAACTGTGATATATTTGTACCTACATTTTGTTGTACGTTAACGCTTGTTCCTAACACAATTTGTTTCCTTTCCATTGACAGCACTTGTAATAATGATGTTATGAAATGTGATGCTATATTTTTGTACTATATTGGTTCATGGTTCATGGTGGTCGACGTCTTCGTAAGCATAGTATTGCTTCTGTTGACGCTTCTTCATAGTTGTTCACATATTTACGGGTTGTGCAGAGGACGCGTATATACTTATATTACATATTAGTAGCACGATGGTAAAAACTTAATATGATGGTTGACCCAATGTTTATTGAGTCAAGATTTAAAAACATTTAAGGTTGGGGAATCTACCACAATTGTAGGGAGTTGATTCCAAGTATTTACAATTGTAGTGTTGATTTCTTATGGCCTTTATGGCTTTGTTTCTTGCATCTTTGTATTTGTTAAAATTCTCGTTAGTTTTACAATGAAGGTAATAGTTTTTTATTCCAGTTTTGCGCATGGTTCAGTTAGCTTACATGACAAACTTAGATTTGCATCTTTCATCCGATTAATACCTTAATAGTACAATAGTATACGCCCGTCAAAACTTTAAGTCTGTCTGTCTGACTGCCCGTCTACACTTTCAATTTAACGTGCTTAAATCGTTTGATTTTGATGAAATGCAGTTATTATGTAAATTATACAAAGACTAGCGCTAAGTTTGAAGATTGTCAAATCCCGTCCTTGATTAACATGCATAGTGCACTATGAATGTTCGTCAGTTTCCGTACAATAAATTGATAAATATGACTAACTACTGATGAAACTTCGTCAATATTCATATCATACTGAGGCAAAAGCTTATTTTAAAATTGACTAATATCTTCCCAAAGCTTTAGATAAGCGTATAATGACCCCTCCCTCCATGAGGTAAATTAACCAAATTAATATCGGATTTGCACAGAATTTTGGGGAAACATTGACTACTTAACCTTTTTTCATTCCAAACAAATGTATAAGGTATAAGTATATGTTTATATAAATTGCAAGTGTCTGAAATAGTGGCTATTTTCCCTGTGTGTTTACTTCCAAATAGTGTCTAGGTTTAAGTAATTAATGAACAAATACAATTCAAAACTAACATTTGAACAACAATAGTTGGAGTGCTAAGACGCTTTTTGGAAAATTTCCTGACTAGCATGACAAAATGTGGTCTTATCTACGTAAGCCTTTTTATAATTAAAATATATTAACAACTGGAATTTTAAATGTTCTTTTTTTTAAAAAAACAGTGCGGCTTTAGACAGCCCAGAAACCATCAACACATTTTAGAGAACCAATCAAGAAACGCAATTGTTACAACATTTTATTTATTCGCATTTATACTCAAGCTGACAAGCAGATATCACACAACATGAAGTAGGGCCGCGGTGGCCGACTGGTTAAGGTGTCTGACCGCCTGACGATCCCTAGCTCTCCACCAGTGGGTCACCGATTCGAGGCCTGTATGTTCTAACCGTAGGTCTATTGTTTTTGTGTCCGAGTATTGTAATGTACTGTACCTACGAACTGTAATAGTCTATTTTTAAAAAATAAAAATGCATAGTGTTCAAATAACGTAGCAAATCATTACAATAACTTCCAATATTCACAATATATCAAACAAACTCGCAAATGATTGGCAAAATATTGATCGTTTACAATGATCAAGAAACAAAGTTGGTAAGTAACAACGAGACGTTTGTATATATAAAAAAAATCCTTGATTATATTTTTATGTACATTGATTAATGTATTCTTTACAGGAAATATTGTCACGATCTTATCTCGCCTTATTATCCTCCTAATACCCAAAAAGAACTAAAAGTAAACATGAACTGTCCACACACTACATGGAGAAAGTATTATCGCTTCTGTCAAACAGACGAAACCTCTAAAATTAAGGGGTCCAAATAACTTAATGGAGGTGTAACCCTTGATATAGTAATACAAAAGATCAACATGAAAGATGAACCACCCACACGAATATCAGTACTATATACAAAGTAGAATGAAACATAGTAATCGTCCTAGCACGGCAGTATATCTTAACCATCTGAACGCAAGCATATATTTGTGGGAACGTAACGCTACACGCTCGATACAAAACCAAAATGTCAGTCAAAATCAAATTACTTTCCTCAAATGTCAAATGATGAGGATCACAATAGATGGTGGACGTTATCCCTGAAAATATTCCGATACTATCATTTCACAAGGCAATGTTCTCAAAAAAAGACAAATAAACGGCATCATATAATAGAGTCTACTGTATGGACTATATGTTAATATGGAGAATAGGGTCATTCGAAAGTGACATCATTAGTCTGTCGTTGACGTCGGTTTGTCCACCATTTATCATCGGATTACATTTCAGAAAAGCAAAATGAAGGTATGTACGTGGCATTTACTTCGAAATGATATTAAAAGCATATGTAATGCACGTTTAATGAAAGATATACCTTTCATATTTTACCGTATAACCAACCCGCTTTCCGATTTTCCCTGAAATGACCGTGTGACTTCTGTTTGGTTTATTTACTGGAGTGATGAACAATAAAACAGCCCATTGTTTAATAAGAAATTTGATCCACCATATGTGTTACTGCATAAGGACGCCGATGTCACACTGTATAATGTTTGACGAATATTGTAACTTATAGATGTGTCGCTAAAACGTCAGTTGCGGGTTCTGGTAACATTTGACAGATGGGCCAGTGGTAAAGCGTATTCGGTGGAAATCATCAGTTTGGTTTGTTTGTTTCTATGTCTTATTAACAGCTATGGTCATTTAAGGACATGCCAGGTTTTGGTCGTGAAGGAAAGTCGGAGTTTCGGGAGAAAAACATGGCGACTGCCCCACGTTGGCCTCGAATCTGCAGCCCAGTGGTGGAGGGCTAGGGGTAGCAGACTGTCAGACGCCTGAACTACTTGGCCACGGCGCCTCCTTAAAAATCATCAGTAAAAGATTTTCCAAATACCAACATTTAGTATTCCTTATCGCTATCAAACTATACGTCATGTTTGAAAAAAAGTTCACGTTCATACTCACTTTGCATGGTTTGTGCAGACATAAAGTCTGATGTAGAACTAATATACCAAACCTTGCATAACGTTTCGAGGAAAACGCTATATGATTAATTGACTGCCATTCAAGTTTGCGTCAAAATAACACTGAACACATGATGTGTTACATTTTCGCCTGTGAATATCAGGAATGATCGATTTATTTAAAAATTGTATTTCAGTTGCGATGAAGATGAATGAAACGTTATATCTCCACGTCAGGCAACAAAGACAACAGATACCACAGGGAAATGTAATTCGAGATGAAGGGACGCATGTCTGTTCAAGTAAAAGCATGCACATGTGGATTTTCTTCTTCAGCTTGTCGTTTTGTTGGGTTTGCTGTTACATTAGAACTAATTGCGGTCCCAAACTTTGCATTTCAAAAAAGTATAATGCCAACACATCAAAAGGAACGGAAAAATTGAAAGTGCAACAACTTTTGTTAAAATATACGCAAAATACCGACATAAAGTTGTGAAAATCTTCAGAAGATTATCGTTATAAATGACAATTTCTTATGATCAATTGATAACATAAAGAATGATACTGTAAACCTTAATATATTTGTCATATTAAACTTTAGTTCCCGTACCCATGAAACCAAGTAAGCCATGTGTACTGACTTGTACTGCTAACCTAGTCTATAACTTCACTCCGTGATTCACTCGTCAGTTGATGGGCGGACTGGTAGAGTGGCTAACACTCCGGCCTTTCACGGTTGATGGGAGGACGGGTAGATTGGTTAACACTCCGGTCCTCCACGGTTGATGGGCGGACTGGTAGAGTGGTTAACACTCCGGCCTTCAACGGTTGATGGGCGGACTGGTCGAGGGGTTAACACTCCGGCCTTCCACGGTTGATGGGCGGACTGGTAGATTTGTTAACACTCCGGCCTTCCACGGTTGATGGGCGGACTGGTAGATTTGTTAACACTCCGGCCTTCCACGGTTGATGGGCGGACTGGTAGAGTGGTTAACACTCCGGCCTTCCACGGGTGATGGGCGGACTGGTCGAGTGGTTAACACTCCGGCCTTCCACGGTTGATGGGAGGACTGGTAGAGTGGTTAACACTCCGGCCTTCAAAAGTTGATGGGCGGACTGGTCGAGTGGTTAACACTCCAGCCATCCACGGTTGATGGGCGGACTGGTCGAGTGGTTAACACTCCGGCTTTCCACGGTTGATGGGCGGACTGGTAGAGTGGTTAACACTCCGGCTTTCCACGACTGATGGGCGGACTGGTCGAGTGGTTAACACTCCGGCCTTCCAAGGTTGATGGGCGGACTGGTCGATTGGTAAACACTCCGGCCTTCCACGGTTGATTGGAGGACTGGTCGATTTGTTAACACTCCGGCTTTCCTCGGTTGATGGGCGGACTGGTAGAGTTGTTAACACTCCGGCCTTCAAAAGTCGATGGGCGGACTGGTCGAGTGGTTCACACTCCGGCTTTCCACGGTTGATGGGCGGACTGGTCGAGTGGTTAATACTCCGGCCTTCCACGGTTGATGAGCGGACTGGTCGATTGGTTAACACTCCGGCCTTCCACGGTTGATTGGAGGACTGGTAGAGTGGTTAACACTCCGGCTCTCCATGGTTGATGGGCGGACTGGTAGAGTGGTTAACACTCCGGCCTTACACGGTTGATGGGCGGACTGGTAGAGTAGTTAACACTCCCGCCTTCCACGGTTGATGGGCGGACTGGTCGAGTGGTTAACACTCCGGCCTTCAACGGTTGATGGGCGGACTGGTCGAGTGGTTAATACTCCCGCCTTCCACGGTTGATGAGCGGACTGGTCGATTGGTTAACACTCCGGCCTTCCATGGTTGATGGGCGGACTGGTCGATTGGTTAACACACCGGCCTTCCACGGTTGATTGGCGGACTGGTCGATTGGTTTACACTCCAGCCTTACACGCAGGCGGCCGGGTTCGATCCCTGAAGTCGTCGTACGATGGATATTCAGAGAAAGTGTTTCTCACCTGCCCATACAAGTCCAACAACCCAGGTGGAGTATGTATTGGTCTGGGGTGGATGTTGCGGTATCTGTGCTGTAGCATTCAAGTGAGGTGGCACTATAAATGATGCCGCTGGGAGCACGGTCCCACTACTAACAAAACACATCACATATCCAGCACGCACGCATGCATACACACATAGGGCGCTCCTGTGAATTCCTCAAAATTGTATTGATTAATGTATATGCAAATTGTATTTATTGTATATCTATAGGCTGTAAAGCGTTTTCGAGAGGCGTATGATAGCTAGATAGGGCACTATATCAAATCTTCACATTTCTGTCATTACTATCAGCAATATCCCCTTTTATCACGCGACCAAGGCGTCACCCAGTTTATCGTTGGGTTTTTCTTTCGGCAACGGTGAAGACTTGACAATAGCCTGAAAAAATACTTTCACATTTTCATATTTATTTTTAGAAAACCTGATAAAGAGGGTCTTGATCTCGTTTGTTTTTCACGTCAAATACATTAAGCCCATCCAAACTATTTCTTATGTGGTCAGCAGATCCTACATAAAAAAAAAGAATTTAAACATCTCGTGAAATGGAAACTCAGAAAACTATCGTTCAATTTTTGCTGAGGATACTTCAGTCAATGCATTAATTGTTCAAGTTAAACCTGATGAATCTATTAAAATATTCAAAACTATATAACATATTCATCAGCTATTGATTGATCAACAGAAAACACCATGATCAGAGAGCTAATGCACCAAAGTAGCCTACAGGTGGACGATGCCAGTGCTTCTTCTCCCAGGTGTAACGGCAGATACTACCTAAGAAAAACCAGTCACATCGACATATATGGTAGTACACTTGGATTGGTACACGTGCACGTACTTTTGTGTTCTTTGAGTACATAATATACAATACTTGTTGGTCTGTACTCATCAGGTTGTCTGCTATAAGGCTCTCCACTGTACGCCTGTAGTCGGCTATGAAGGTTAACAGGTAATCCGGCTGACCAAGGAACATTCCACCAGCTAACCACACCATATTGTCTCCTATTATATCCAGAGGTAATAAGCCTTTTTCAAATTTTTTATTCTGCATAAAGGCTATATGATCTTTCTTCAAATCTGGAGGTATTTCTAATGTAAATGTTTTTGTTTCTTTATCACGAAAATACCCAATGTCAATCCAAGCTAAATGTTTGGTTTTGTACTGTTTTTGACGGATCACCATTTCCAGTGCTTCATACTTCACATGCATGGCACACGAGTACTTCTCATTGATAGTGTTTGGTGAGTAGTATGGATACCCTAGCTGTGCATATATCTGTTTGATCTGTGGGGCTAACTTGAAAGACCATAAGCTGTCTTGTTGTATGTTAATTATACGCGTCATATGACTAGGAAACTGTTTTCTAAGTATTTGAAACAATGTCGCAACATCAGAGGAATCAGTAAAAAGAATCACAGAGTTGTTGAATTTGGAGAATGCAGTCATCCAATCTATATACGTGTGTTTTCCATAACTCAAGTCGGTTAGAATTATTCCTTTTTGAAATGTACCCAGATCGAAATAAGCTGTGACAAAGGTTATTCCATCCTCTAGCTGTGCCATATTGTCGATGTGTTCTCTAGGAACAGGCGAGGGAGGTACATACATCTGCAAGTAATATAAACAATGTCATCATATAAAGCATAGGAACGTTGCAAGTAAGTCTTCCTTAAAATTCTTTGGCAGGATTGAAAATATCCTATTTGTGTTCAATACAATCTTTGCCTTTATAATCGTTTAATACTAATGGAAGTATTACAAGGTAATATGCATGCTTTGATGTGCGTAACACGTTTCATTTTCCGATCGGACATCAAACGTGGCCAACACGACATCTGATTACCTGAAACATCAGACTGCAACTTTTTGACTCAATTTTGTTAATGTAACGTAAGAGTGAAAGTTGTCATAAGTATTTAAAAAAAATACAAATTAAAAGTTTGCGACAAAATGGCCGCCATACTGGCGTCTGTTTGGTCGGAATCCAAATATCATATGATAATAATAATAATGATAATAATAATTCGAGGTTCTTACATACCGCTTTATCACAACCTAGTTCGTAGGTCGTCTCAATGCGGTTCACAAATTATTATTCGTGGTTATAGGGCCTTTGTAGCCAGCCAATATCTTTCTCAACTCCCTGGGGAGCATACAGCCGACGCTGCCATTTCGGCGCTCACAGCTAGCATTCTACAATTCTAGCACTGCTCAACCACGTAGTCATTTACAGCTGAGTAGACTGGAACACGCGGAGTAAAGTATCTTGCTCAAAGATACAACACAGTGCCGTGCCATGACTCGAATTATATTTATATATAATATCGTATAATGTATTTATATATATATTGTCTTATAATAGATTTTTATTATATTCGTAGGATGTATTAAAATATATTATGACCGAAATCCAAATAGCGTATGATGTTTTTTATATAGCTTATGACACTGCGACCAATAACAATACTTCCGTTTAGATGCCCCCTGATGTCTGACTATGCTTTTCGAAATCAAGATGTTAATCAGTGTTTCTTTAAGTTGGTACTTAGGTATTTAACGCAAATTAGAACGCTTACCCGATTTCTGTAAAGTCATAGAACAAGACGGATGCCTCAAATACTAATTTATTGATAAGTCGAAATTCAGATTATGCCCGATGTTGCCCAATGGAGGGAACGTTCGCATTGGGAGCTCTTTCTTGTGTATCCTTTGCGACTATGGGGACAGTTAAGCGAACGAATGTAATAGTCCCTGTTACAGTTAAGTGTTGTTTTTTTTAACTTCTAAGTGATAATGATACTGCTGGAATAGAGAAAACATTTGTGTCACAAATTAGATTAAAGATGGAAGCTTTGCACAGGGTCTTCCTTAGAAAGTATTTTCAATTATATAGATGTAATATTGGTGCTCTCATAAATGGATTATCAGAAATGGTATTTCTCAAAAATACAATTCAATCTTAATACAAAATATTTTCAAGCTAAAGGTAGACTGAACAAAATGGCGAATACAAAGATTCTAAAAGTCCAAAATTGAACATTGATTTGCCATGTTAACACTTAAGTAAGTTTTACATATGTACACTACTTACAGGTATCTTTAAAATAGACTATATAAATTATCCCTTTATTTTATCTTCAACGAAGCTACTTTAGGCCTGGTAAATCACAAAAAGATCTTGACTTGATGAATATCAAAGTACGTGATTTCCTTTCGTGAAATCATCTTTGATATGCTATTAAGTGGACGATAGCTTCTATACGTTTCTGTACGTTCCCCTTCCATTCTCTTCTTTCATGTTAAGAACATAACTAGACCGTGACCATGTGTATTTTACGCAAGCATCCCTTAATTGTTGAACAAGTCCCCTACCTTTGACCTCGTGTTTTGAACGGTTTTAAATAAGCAGAGTATTACTAGCGATTTACTGACTATATGTGGTGCCTCTAAGTGTTACTAATATATTGCTTTGTGAGGTCTTTGCTCAAATAAGATATATGGTCTTTGACCTCATGACATTGACCTTGTTACTGTATCCATCCTTGCATCGATCCTGTCTATCTCATACTGATATATAAAACAATAAGTGTGTTAAGATCGCGTCATGTCACATAATGAACATTGATCGCAACGGAATCTTTAAGTTGACCTTGTACCTTTAGATGATGACAAACAAACGAAGTGTAGCATACTAATTGCCACAACATACCAAAGATTGAAGTCTTTACAACACAAGCTTTTAGAAATATTCTATAACAGTTTGGAAAGTGATCGACGTCCGTCTTGAAAATCAAAATTATTTTCTTTTGAATATTGAGTATAACGTCCTACAAGCAAGTTACCTGGTGCTAGAACAGTGGTGATTTAGAATAGAAGTACATAAATATCCCATCATAAAAAACTGATTTTGTGTTAGGAGGGTACCTAACGTTAAACATCAACAAGAGACTATCTCTCAAGTATAGCAGCAGTACTTTATACATTATTTATTCGGTACAATATATAATTACCTCTGATGTGTCCCAGTCGTCATTAATGTACCCTGGAAAATGATCTACAATAGAATAATCAATGAATGAAAGTGAATTTATTATTATAACCATTAATTATCACATTATTAACAAGCATATACAGAGATATACTTATCATTATTAACGATCATTTAGTAACTCATCTTAACTCCCAGTTGTGACCTTGAGTATGGACCTTTATGTTTCAGGCACTTGGTCAAGTGATGATATATGTTGGAAACTAACGCAATGTTCAGCCGGTCCAAGATACGTACACCCATCACGCAAAGCATTAGCACACACCTTTTAACATTTGGGAAAGACGTTTTAGAGATTGACGTTTACCTTGACTTTTTTCAAAAAATATTGGTCCGGCCATTTAAGAGTACTTTACTAGAAAAATATCATCCATGTCACTTTATAGAAACATAGATGTCCTAGCTTGTTCTAACCAGGTTTGGTTGTACAACATAATTCAGAAAGAACTTTATGCATATTATTAACAAGACGACACAGCTAGCAGCAATATACTCACAGAAAAGCATAAAGAGGAGGAAATAATATCCTATACAAAGGGACAGCTGAACAAGGTCAGCTGAGCGCTTTTGTAGGTTGTCCTTGACAACGGCGACGTTCACTGGATTCCACCATTTCCTCTTTATTTTCTTAAAAATAATTGTAAGAATATGAATAAATTATATATTTCGATTATAATTATGAAACTAATTATTATAAATACGTTTATGAATAAGTATGACAATAAGAATATAAACAAGTTGAATAATGGGATAAATTCTGATAAAAAGTGTAAATACTTCTTAACTAAAATAGAGGTGTAAGTCAATCAGGCCTGTATCTTTTACATAAATTCATTTATTCCTTTTTCGAAGAATTTTAAAAGAATTTGATTCCCTTATTACCTCACTTCAGATCGTTAATGACGACTCAAAAAATAAAATTAAAACTCGAATTATTCGAAGGTTCTTAGCCAATCAGAGGTCAGTGTAGACATTTTGTATTTTAAATCAGCCGAAAGTAATAACGACACCTGTTCAGCACATTCGAATTATCAAAATCAAGTCAGCTTTGTTAAAGTTGATTAGATGAAAATGCAGAATCTGAATTGGTTTAAAAAGTAACACTTAATCATGTAAATTCAAATAAAATAGAAATCATTCATGAATGATGATGTTCAAAAATTCATCACACAATTAAGACACGGAAGCGGATTGAATATGTATAACGTTTAACACTCATTATGTTTAATTAAGACACTGAAGCGGATTGAATATGTATAACGTTTAACACTCATTATGTTTAATTAAGACACTGAAGCGGATTGAATATGTATAATTGAAAACTCATTATGTTTAATTTAGACACGGAAGCGGAATGAGTATGTATAACGTTTAAAACTCATTATGTTTTTATGTTTAATAATGTAGTCCGTATGTGGGTCACAGTAATCAGTGTGTATTTGACGTGATAGTCAATTATGTATGAATATCTAGTTAGTTTGCATGATTGTCAGTATGTATGACGCTGTTGTCAGTATGTATGACACTGTTGATAGTATTAGGACACTGTTGTTAGTAGGTATGACACTGTTGTCAGTATGTATGACACTGTTGTTAGTATGTATGACCCTGTTGTTAGTATTATGACACTGTTGTTAGTATGTATGACGCCGTTGTCAGTATGTATGACGCTGTTGTCAGTATTTATGACACTGTTGTCAGTATGTATGACACTGTTGTTAGTATGTATGACCCTGTTGTTAGTATTATGACACTGTTGTTAGTATGTATGACACCATTGTCAGTATGTATGACGCTGTTGTCAGTATGTATGACACTGTTGTTAGTAGGTATGAGACTGTTGTTAGTATGTATGACACTGTTGTGAGTATTATGACACTGTTGTTAGTATTATGACAATGTTGTTAGTATGTATGACACCGTTGTCAGTATGTATGCCGCTTTTGTCATTATGTATGACGCTGTTGTCAGTATGTATGACACTGTTGTTAGTAGGAATGACACTGTTGTCAGTATGTATGACACTGTTGTTAGTAGGTATGAGACTGTTGTTAGTATGTATGACACTGTTGTGAGTATTATGACACTGTTGTTAGTATTATGACACTGTTGTTAGTATGTATGACACCGTTGTCAGTATGTATGACGCTGTTGTCAGTATGTATGACACTGTTGTCAGTATGTATGACACTGTAGTTAGTATGTATGGCACTGTTGTCAATATGTATGACACTGTTGTCAGTATGTACGACGCTATTGTCAGTATGTATGACACTGTTGTCATTATTTATGACACTGTTGTCAGTATGGATGACACTGTTGTCAGTATGTATGACAATGTTGTCAGTATGTATGACACTGTTGTTAGTATATATGACACTGTTGTCAGTATGTATGACAATGTTGTCAGTATGTATGACACTGTTGTCATTATTTATGACACTGTTGTCAGTATGGATGACACTGTTGTCAGTATGTATGACAATGTTGTCAGTATCTATGACACTGTTGTTAGTAGGTATGACACTGTTGTTAGAATTATGACACTGTTGTTAGTATTATGACAATGTTGTTAGTATGTATGACACCGTTGTCAGTATGTATGACACTGTTGTCATTATTTATGACACTGTTGTCAGTATGGATGACACTGTTGTCAGTATGTATGACACTGTAGTTAGTATGTATGGGACTGTTGTCAGTATCTATGACACTGTTGTTAGTAGGTATGACACTGTTGTTAGTATTGTGACACCGTTGTTAGTATTATGACAGGGTTGTTAGGATGTATGACACTGTTGTTAGTAGGTATGACACTGTTGTCAGTATGTATGACGCTGGTGTCAGTATGTATGACGCTGTTGTCAGAATGTATGACGCTGTTGTCAGTATGTATGACCCTGTTGTTAGTAGGTATGAGACTGTTTTTAGTATGTATGACACTGTTGTTAGTAGGAATGAGACTGTTGTTAGTTTGTATGACACTGTTGTTAGTATTATGACACCGTTGTTAGTATTATAACACTGTTGTTAGTATGTATGACACTGTTTTCAGTATGTATGACACTGTAGTTAGTATGTATGGGACTGTTGTCAGTATCTATGACACTGTTGTTAGTATGTATGACACCGTTGTCAGTATGTATGACACTGTTGTTAGTAGGAATGAGACTGTTGTTAGTTTGTATGACACTGTTGTCAGTATGTATGACGCTGGTGTCAGTATGTATGACGCTGTTGTCAGAATGTATGACGCTGTTGTTAGTATGTATGACACGGTTATCAGTATGTATGACACTGTTGTTAGTAGGTATGAGACTGTTGTTAGAAGGTATGAGACTGTTGTTAGTAGGTATGACACTGTTGTTAGTATTAGGACACCGTTGTTAGTGTTATGACACTGTTGTTAGTATGTATGACACCGTTGTCAGTATGTATGACGTTGTTGTCAGTATGTATGACGCTGTTGTTAGTAGGTATGACACTGTTGTTAGTATTATGGCACTGTTGTTAGTATGTATGACACCGTTGTCAGTATGTATGACACTGTTGTCCGTATCTATGACACTGTTGTTAGTTTGTATGAAACTGTTGTCAGAATGTATGACACTGTTGTTAGTATGTATGACACCGTTGTCAGTATGTATGACGTTGTTGTCAGTATGTATGACGCTGTTGTTAGTATGTATGACGCTGTTGGTAGTATGTATGACACTGTTGTCAGAATGTATGACGCTGTTGTTAGTATGTATGACACCGTTGTCAGTATATATGACGCTGTTGTCAGTATGTATGACCCTGTTGTTAGTAGGTATGAGACTGTTTTTAGTATGTATGACACTGTTGTTAGTAGGTATGACACTGTTGTTATTATTATGACACCGTTGTTAGTATTATGATACTGTTGTTAGTATGTATGACACTGTTTTCAGTATGTATGACACTGTAGTTAGTATGTATGGCACTGTTGTCAATATGTATGACACTGTTGTCAGTATGTATGATGCTGTTGTCAATATGTATGACGCTGTTGTTAGTATGTATGACCCTGTTGTCCGTATGTATGACACTGTTGTTAGTAGGTATGACACTGTTGTTAGTATTATGACAATGTTGTTAGTATGTATGACACCGTTGTCAGTATGTATGACGTTGTTGTCAGTATGTATGACGCTGTTGTTAGTAGGTATGACACTGTTGTTATTATTATGACACCGTTGTTAGTATTATGATACTGTTGTTAGTATGTATGACACTGTTTTCAGTATGTATGACACTGTAGTTAGTATGTATGGGACTGTTGTCAGTATCTATGACACTGTTGGCAGTATCTATGACACTGTTGTCAGTATGTATGACAATGTTGTCAGTATGTATGACACTGTTGTTAGAATGTATGACACAGTTGTTAGGATGTATGACACTGTTGTTAGTAGGTATGAGACTGTTGTTAGAAGGTATGAGACTGTTGTTAGTAGGTATGAGACTGTTGTTAGAAGGTATGAGACTGTTGTTAGTAGGTATGAGACTGTTGTTAGTAGGTATGAGCCTGTTGTTAGTATGTATGACACTGTTGTAAGTATTTATGACACTGTTGTCAGTATCTATGGCACTGTTGTCAGTATCTATGACACTGTTGTTAGTATGTATGACGCGATATAACGCAATAATAAGACTATATGGTATGATGTAAGGCTGTATGTTACAATACTCTATATGAACTATGCATGACACGCTAGCAATGCTATTTATAACGCGGCTAAATTTATCCTCGATACCAAATGGTTTACGCTCATTTTTGAACCTCTAGAATATGTCACAGCAAAATTAAAGGCGCGCGGCAGATGTCGTCATTAGATATTTACCATCAATAAAGGCCCTTTGACCAGCATCACAATGCCCCAGCAGCCTATGGAGCTTACCAATTATTTTATGTCTTTTTAGGCCTCAAAAGGAGGATACCAAAACATATTGGTAATGTGTGGTAGTCGTTCCTACACGAAACTCTACTGCCAAAACAACCGCAGAGAGATTTTTCAAACGCTTCAATTCACAGTAGCAAGGGCCCAAACTGTTTAAGGAAAGTTGATCAAAGAGCTGTGTCAGCTGACAGAAATGAGTAAATCACGTACTACTCCATACCACACCATTGGTAACATGTAGTAATTGTAATGGGGGACCACTACAGAAGTCCTCCAAACTGCCCCCATAGTCGCAAAGATGCATCAGAAGTGGATCGCAATGCCATAAAACACCTAAACTCAATTTCGACCAATCAGAAACTTCAGTGAGGTTGGTATGGCAACGAAACCTATGTGGTTGAATCTGCAGTCCCCTAATACCCCTTTATACCATTTTCCATCAAATCGAACAATATCTAAATTTCGACCAATTAGACGCTTCCGTTTGGTTGAAGTTACAGATTCTAGTGTGTGGTCATAGAGTGTGTATTGGTGTTTAATTTGTGTGCGTTTTGGTGATATAGTGAGTATGGTACATTTGTGTGGGTGGCATTTCGTGAGCCAGTCCTCTTCCCAATCGTACCTCCATGTTTGTTGTGTAAGCGTATATGTTGATGTGTGTATGTATGCCGGAGACATGGTATGTTGGCCGGTGTACTTGCTTTC